GCCACCCGCTGTCAAAGGTCATCGGAGCACGAGGTTATTCATAATAGCGTAAAAGGTTGTTGTGTTACGTCGCGTTAATGTGAATCGGAATCAGTATTTGTACTGGAGGAATCCGATGAGCTACAAAGCTTATTTTGTCACATGTCCAGTAGGGTCGGGTAAGAACGTTAAAACAACAAACATTAAAAAAACATGATAGGAGGGCAAAGTACAAGAAAAGTAAGCAAATCACCCAAACACCTACAAATACAATCTAAAACACCCCCATCCTACCAGGAAAACCCACTAAGGTAATAACTTATGTTTTTTTCCGAAGCTACCTGGCCACAAATGATAACTATACAAAGTGGCCCATCATTTGGACATTTATAGCATCAAAATAATCTCAAAATGACCGACCATCACCCAACAGCCAATTAGTAAGGTTTGTCACGTGAACTAATCGTAGGCCAATTAGCTACTACTATAGCACACCCTGTGTCACAGCGAGTAAACACAACATTTACAATTGTTTCACGACACATTTGTATTTACCCAATTTATCCCCAAAAATATTTTTTTTATTAATTATGCATATTGGTTGCGAAAGCCTACGTGTTAAATGAACATAAGGTTAATTACAATCCAATTTGTCCACGGATTGTTATGGTGATGAATGAGGCCAAACTGGATCCTGTTGAACGAAAATCACTCAAGTGCTGAGACTGTCGAGTTCATCTTATGAAAGGACCTACGTTAAATATTTGTAAGGGGGTCGAGGATGCAAAAGTATTGGAAGGACACCTTACAACGAGACTGTAAAATACGCAGGTTCTTTACATCTTCTGCATTCTCAGGATTACAAAAGGATGCTCAGGCAAAAGTTAGACGCACCCCAAAGTCGTGCTCAATGTCAAAAAAGTTGTGTCCATCCGGTCACACAGCTACTGGAATATAAGGTACACCCACAAGTTTTGATTTTACAATACCCGGGGGGGAGGATGAAATGCGTCCGGAGAAAACAGCATCACCCAGAATTTTTATGAAGATAAAATTATTCATTAACACCAACATGTTTACCTCCATGTTGTAGGTGATGTGTTCTCTACACTAAGATAATATAGTTGACACATGCGGGGTATTTACGAGGAGGCTATATATTCTAGTTTACATTTGGGGTGGAGTGATTGTGCAGTGGCATGCGCACTGCGCTATCCCGGGTTCGATTCGCGGCGAGGGCCAACATCAGCAGCAAAGCGATATCCGAACCAGTCCTGCATCCCACCCACGGACACGCACTAAGCAGCGTGGTGAAGTATGGTCAAACAACTCCCATGGCCGATAAGGCTTCGAAGAGACCCGTAAATTGTCATTTGCTTCAAAGCAAGACGTGACATTTCATTCAGGATTGTCTCGTACAGGCAACTTTTTTTGCACGAAATTCACAATATTCTGATCTCATCTTTAAATACAAAAATTGCATAATTGATACCAATTCATTAAAGCTGAGATACACGCGTATTTATAATTATAAGGCAGATTGACATTCATGTGAAACACATCCATGCAAATGTATTTAATTGTCTTCAGATGAGTGACTTTAACGGGGAAATTTTTAATTAAAATCCATCCATAAATGTGCGGATATTACCCTTCATCTTGTATGAGGCCGGAGTACCCTTACAGTGAGGGAAAAAAAGTATTTAATCCCCTGCTGATTTTGTACGTTTGCCCACTGACAAAGAAATGATCAGTCTATAATTTTAATGGTAGGTTTATTTGAACAGTGAGAGACAGAATAACAACAAGAACATCCAGAAAAACGCATGTCAAAAATTGTATAAATTGATTTGCATTTTAATGAGGGAAATAAGTATTTGACCCCTCTCATTCAGAAAGATATCTGGCTCCCAGGTGTCTTTTATACAGGTAACGAGCTGAGATTAGGAGCAAACGCTTACAGGGAGTGCTCCTGGAATGGGCTACAAGACCATTGCCAAGCAGCTTGGTGAGAAGGTGACAACAGTTGGTGCGATTATTCGCAAATGGAAGAAACACAAGAACTATCAATCTCCCTTGGCCTGGGGCTCCATGCAAGATCTCACCTCGTGGAGTTGCAATGATCATGAGAACGGAGAGGAATCAGCCCAGAACTACACGGGAGGATCTTGTTAATGATCTCAATGCAGCTGGGACCATAGTCACCAAGAAAACAATTGGTAACACATTACGCCGTGAAGGACTAAAATCCTGCAGTGCCCGCAAGGTTCCCCTGCTCAAGAAAGCACATATACATGCCCGTCTGAAGTTTGCCAATGAACATCTGAATGATTCAGAGGACAACTGGGTGAAAGTGTTGTGGTCAGATGAGACCAAAATGGAGCTCTTTGGCATCAACTCAACTCGGCGCGTTTGGAGGAGGAATGCTGACTATGACCCCAAGAGCTGAAGGTTCGAGTTGCCAAACGCCAGCCTCGAAACCTTAATGACTTGGCGAAGATCTGCAAAGAGGAGGGGGGACAAAATCCCTCCTGAAATGTGTGCAAACCTGGTGGCCAACTACAATAAACGTCTGACCTCTGTGATTGCCAACAAGGGTTTTGCCACCAAGCACTAAGTCATGTTTTGCAAAGGGGTCAAATACTTATTTCCCTCATTAAAATGCAAATCAATTCATAACATTTTTGACATGCGTTTTTCTGGATTTTGTTGTTATTGTCTCTCACTGTTCAAATAAACCTACCATTAAAATTATAGACTGATAATTTCTTTGTCAGTGAGCGAAAGAAATGATCAGGGGATCAAATACTTTTTTTTCCCCTCACTGTACATCTCACCTCACCACACGGGGACCGGCCAATCGACTTTTGGCGCACCACAGCTTCAACTGCCGTGCCTCAAAATCGAGCCGGGGACCCCTGGTTTGCAAGTCCAGTGTGCTCACCATTTCATTACACCACAGTAGCAACCTTTGCAAGGATATCTGGGGTTTTTTTCAAAGATCCAAATGATTTTATATGCTCGGTTCACATTTTACATGTTACATGAGGATTTCCAGGCGTGTCCTGGAAAATCTTGAAAAGATAATCTCACTGTCCAAAAGAAGACGTTCATTCATCATCATCATCGTGTTTTTCATCCTGCACCTCGCACGCATTCAATCTCGAGTTGAGCAGGCAAACGACGGCGATTTAAAAGAGTGATTTATTAAGTTTAATTGTGCCACCATCTGCGCAACTGTCTACAGTGCATATTTTAAAGTGTTCCAATTAAGCAAGCATGGTTTTTCCAATGCATATATGTGGGTTCTCCAATATATGCAGAACCACCACTATGTGTTGTATATATATATTTGTACATATTAACTCTTGTAAGCGGTGGCTAATTCACAATAATCAAATGATTATTAGAGCCCAAAAACCCCATTGGACCCGACGTCTCTCGTTGCAAGAATACCCACGTGGCCAGAGAGAGCCTTCGTCTGCTTTACTCGTAATATACAACAAGACGTGATTGCCCGAGACGCTTTCCAGACCCCATCACGAGTGATTTATTCTCTTGTGAGCAAAAAAAATGGGAACGACAAAAAAAAGACGATTTGGGACATCCCCTTTGGAGTCAAAATTGAGTGCGACTGACAAACGAGCCACTCTCTGACCTCGTTGCCACGGTAACGGCTGATGGAGCCAGGTGGTTGATGCTGATCTACAGCAAAATCACCCCTTGCCAGACGCTAATTGCTCACGTGCTAATTGCCGGCGAGTCGCGTGTCGAGTCACCAAGAGACGAATCCCGCTTGCAGGTGTGAGACGTCGTCGTTGTGGGGGTACTGCCCTGGTGAACCAGAGCAGAAATCGGTCCCACCGAGGGTGGCAAATCTCGAGTTGTTCCAACGTATTTTTATACATGGCCCAATCGGACTGAATTACTTGAAAACCTCACTCATTTCAAGTGGCTGTTTCCCAATTGCCACGCAAAGAAATTGGAACCGGATTCATTGATGCTGCCAACAAAGTGAAATGTCAACAACTCTGGGCTCACCGAACTCTTTTGGCAGCAATAACAAAAAAAAGATTGTTGGGGCAAATGCTGTTCGTGAGCACCTATGAAGGCCGGCACGCCACACGAGGCGAGGAGGTGTGTGGCCAACAACACGCCCGGCCGCCTTTGTCTCCCGAGTGGTGACATTTAAGGCTGAGTCGACCTAGGGGATGCCCACGACCGGTTCAGATACTCGTCACTGGTGTTGGCCGTGAGCAGGAATCGAACCCGGGTAACCGCTCCCTAGCAATGCGAGACGCACATGCAGCCTATTCCCGCCGTCACCGTTCACACTTCAATGGAAGTGTTGATATACAATCCCAAAACATTTTAAAACGCTAGCTCGTACAAACGTGCCCTCTGTCAGGCACAAATTAGTTTCAAGTTTTAACTACACTGTGCCATACACGCAGCGAGTAATGTTAATTCACTGCCGGATGAAGTCTGCCCCGTTCCATATCAGTCACGTCAGTTGTTTGGTGGCAGTTCATAGAAATTGTGGTCAGGTTCATACCACAACGCGATAACCACACCACCACTCCCCGGACCAATGCACAACTTTAGAGTAGTTTGCTGCTATCAATTCCCACATAATGATAATCCGCTACTTCGTTGAGCTATCGTTTGTGGCCAGGTCGCTTCTGAAAAAGATCTGTACAGCTCAGTGGGGCCTTACCTGGTGAAATAAAAATAAATACATCTTAAAATGCAAGCTGCCGTAATACAAACCATAACCGACTGTTGCCAAACCTGTAAGCACGCTTATTTAGGTGATAAAAAACACGTTTATGTGCGCCATAGTCTAAATCACAAATTGCCTTTTAAGCTTAGTATTGCTTTATCGGCAGTCACCTCTTAACGACAGTGCTATTTTGGTTTGAACGCCTGTCGCTCGATTTTCTTCCCAGCCAACGCAGCGTTCACTTCGAATTGCAACCAAATAAAAAGTGGGACGAAAAATAAATCAGAGTGGACATATGTACGGTTGCCACCATTAAGGCATATATTTTTTTTTAAAACACCGCAGATGTCACGGGAAGATGATCTCACAACACGGGACGAGGTGGGAACTGCAGTAAAAAGTAAGTGCATCGTCTTGCGCGGCGATGTGTTGTTATGCCAGTGACAAAAAATTTACTTTAAATGATGTGGGGAGACTTCAGATGTCACAAAATGGCAACCTCATGAAGAGGATTCCCTAGGGAAACCCAGGATAGGTACCAACTGTAGCCATAAGATTCTGGATCGTCACAAATACACTTGCTCCTTCAATGCTTGTTGTGTAGTGTTGATACTGTATTGATGTTGAACGTCTTACGTGGCCTGCAATAGCTACCGAAAAATTAATCTCCAATGCCACTTTGCTTTGGCGTCTTTTCGATGTACCGCACAGGAGGCAGGCGCACTCTAAACATTTTATTTATTAAGCCTGTGCCGTTAGAGACTGGGATTCGAGGTAGAGTTGGATCTCGATGGATTACATCACCGCTGCTTGAATCATTATCTTCTCATTAGAAATCCAATTCATCCACTGGGTTACATCAGTGTACGCCGTGGAATGGAGGGGCCCTAAAGCAGTTCATGTGGAGTAAACCCTGCCCAGATTGTTGCCACATCGTAGCAACAACCTTGAATTCGTCACACAGCGTGTGATAGTCAATAGTTTTTATTCGGGGGGGGGGGGGGAGCTTATTAGCGCGCATTTTTTTGTTTGCCATGGTGTCCGACGTTTCGCTCCACGTGCTGGCAGCTTCAGCTTTCGTGCCGAACAACATGCGGTAGGAGCAGAAAGTACATCGGAGAACTTTACGACGAGAAACAAAACCTACGCCCTTGTTACGGGCGCGGTACATTGTGGTCCAGATGTCTTGTGACCCCCCCCCCCAATTAATGATATAAAACTTTTTTATTCTTTTTTTTAAACGAAGGTTTATTTAAAACAGACGTTTTTAAAACAGAAATTAATATGCAAAGGTGAAACTAAATTTGAGGGTCAATTAATTTTGCTGTCACAAGACATATGGACCACTCTTAAGGTTCCGTTTTAAACAATCTCCACAATTTACATCACAACAGTAATTGATGCGACAGACCATTTCTGTTCGTCCTAAAATTCCTTCATGCAGAATTTGTCGCTTAAACATTGCATACATGCTGTTATTGGACAATACAGTGCAATACATACTAGGAGTCTTGGAATTTGAGGTCTCTGGAAGGAGAATGATCGTGGCCGGCAGCCAAGGAACGCGTCTAAGGTCACGTCCATAGAAGAGATGGAGCAATGAAATTGGCGTATATATGGGGTGCTGTTATGGAACATTACAACGTAGGATCACGAGAGATAGCGACGGTTTGGGTGAGGTCTTCATACAGCAATTGACTGATCATGGCCCGATGACGATGATGATGACAGTGCACATGGTATATCTGAACTTTCAATAATGTGTAATTTAAATCCCTGCATCATTGGACACACATTGGGCTTAACATGAACAATACAATCACACCACATTTAAAAAAATAATTTAACAAGACGACAAAAATACCCAACGCGTTAATTCATTGAAGTACCGGATGTTAAATGTAAACATTCAATGATGATGAAGCTACGTTTTTTTCTTTTCAATAGCAACATCTTTTTTTTAATGTAAGACAATTTGAAATAACGTGAACAGGGCCAATTAAAATAATAAAATTCACGTTGACACACGTAGGTCAGATACAACTGTTGAGATGACCTTTTTAGATTTAAGAAAAGACAATTTGTTCAAACCCACCCATCACCAGATGCTCGCCAAGTGCCTTGCCAGACAAGTACAACTGCACGCCCGCTGATGCGGTAACCGCGTGACAACCTTATTAATTCAAGTGGAGGGGGATTGACGACACGCGCATTTGCTCTGTGGGTTCGTTTTGAGCGATTTGACACTGAGTGTATTATGCGCGGCCAACCAATTCCTACCAAAAAATTTGCTACATTTTGCGGTTTTAATTTACTCGGATGCGGTTGTGCGGTCGGACGTAGCACAGTGTGCGTCCGTCGTGCGCGCCACCCGGCAGGCGGCTGTCTCGTGCGGTTTCGCCTTTGTGCGCAACGTTCTTGTAACGCATCATCTACTACGACTGCGCAGAGCAAGGGAAACCCGAGTGTTTTCGCGGGTTGTTCTTTAAGACTCTCCGATGTGTTGTTTTTTTATCCTTTCACTGAAATTTAGTTCCTGCAAACTCCACCCGTCCCCTTCCCCACCATCCCAGCCTTGCCTGTACCACCTCCTTTGCACCGGTTAGCATCCGTTTTGTTTTGGGCAGCCAAGGCCAGAAGCACGAGTTCCTCTGCTCCAAGGCAATGCATGAAGGCAGTGGTAGAAAGCAGAAACAAACCGCAATTCTTCAGGCATACAATGACTCGTACCCCAGTAAGTCATGGGATTTTTTGGTTTTACTTTCAATCAATTTTGTCACGAGTCACACCATCGCGGTTTAAAACAAGGTTGAATAAAAACATTGTTTCTTTCGTACCCTCTCATTTGCACCGTCTGCCTTGGTTGCGGCCATAATGTTGGTCATTGTCTATCATTTGCTGTGCCATCCCACTTGCCCCGTTGTCTCACTCGCACCAGCACCGTCTCACTCGCACCGCCTCGTTTGTCGCGTCTCAGATGTCCCCGCCCGTAGTGTCCCCGTTGTGTTTTATCTCTCCGGTTAAGCCGAACGCAAAAAACGTTTGTACAATTTGCAAGAACAGATAACAATTGATTTTACTCGTACGACTTGTTGCATGTTTCGCGAGTGCAAAAAAGTGCCTTTAATTTGAAAACTGAATCACTGTTATTATGCCAGGAATTATCTTGCGAGACACTACGTTTTGTGTAAATCCGACAAAACTACCGCGTTTCAAACTCCCAACCAATTTGAGCTGGCGCGCCAAGCTAATTGCAAGGGCCTCCGATGTTGTGTTCGGAGTTGCTGCTCACAAGTCATTCAGCATATCGTCCGACGTTTCGCTCCACAGTGCTGGGAAACGTTGGACATCTCGCTCCGCACGTTGCAAGCTCCCACCCGGACACATGCGGCGGAACGTCGGACGTCGTGGCGAAACAACAGCCCAAATGACGAGAAAACGCACCGGAGAGCCGTACAGCAGCACAGCCGCGCGCGAAAGTAGTCAAGAGTCCCACGTAGTAAGAGTCACAAAGGGAGTGAACGTGCGGTGTTTCCCAAGTTTCCAAAGTTGTAGCTCCTCTCTTCCGTTCCACCACCTTCTCAGGGCGACAGCAGCGGATGCTGGTTGGACTCAAACATCCGCAGCGTTCGTCCAAGACCCCTGGACAAAGAGAGGAGGGCATGTAATAATAATAATACATTAATTTCTTTAGCGTGTGCCAACAGCATCCCACAACGCTGTACAAGGAGGAAATCCCATGTACGCGGTTGGCTATGTATGGTGAGAAAAAAGCCCAACACACATATAGTAAAACCTTGGATTGCGAGCAGAATTCGTTCCGGAAACGTGTTTGTAATCCAAAGCACTCGTATATCAAAGCACTCGTATATCAGTTGTGATCACGTGACGCTCGGCAGGCAAAGTGTATATACGTACTACTCGTATTGCAAGACCTCGCTCGTTTATCAAATTAATATTTATTAAAAAATTTAGCTCGTCTTGCAAAACACTCGCAGACCAAGTTACTCGCAATCCAAGGTTTTACGGTACCGAGAAAATGAAAACCCCTACTACTACCAAGCAAAATAAAAAAAATTGTAAACAAATTAAGAAATTGCACAAACACAAAAGGCACAAACGACAAAACAGTTATCAAAATTAGTTCACCAACGGACTCAATCAAGTGCTTTGCCACCTGGAAATAAGGCCATGAGATTTCGCCAAGATGTAACAGAATTAATATATGAGTTAAGTGATGACGTCACCCTGCTGCTCTATATAAAACCGGGAGCAAGCGAGGGCTTTACCATTCTGGCGAATTGCCCGATGATGCTGGATGTATTTACCAGCGAAAAGTCGTACTCAAACTGTAAATGTGGATTCACTCTTCAACACACCGGTGGGCTAAAGTAGTGAATTATTTGTCTTTTGTCAACGTGACACTTTTTTTGCTGATTGGCCGTGTCGGGTGGTGGAGGGTTACGACACATTTATAAATAAACGCGATCTAACCCAAAAACCTTTATTATGAATGTAACAGAAGTTGAACGATTTGATTTGCTTGCTGCCCTCTTATCCGCTACTCCCATTTATCAGTGTCCCCAATCAATCGAAGGACACTGCCCGTTATTCTGGGATGCATTCTTCCAAATAAACGTGGATATGCAATTAAGGGGTAAACTGGAAGGGGTCTCACAGCGATAAAATCATGACATTTGTTTTTTTTTGTTTTATGAAATAATTCGAGTGGACAATTAATACAAGTTTCTGTGTTTATCCATGTGTTGAGAAGTTATTGACGACTCGGAGACGGAGGTGAAGGTAAGGGCTTGCGCCAGTAGTTTATTAAGGGCTTCTGCCAATAACACAGGGACTAACACTTCCCCACGAGGGTAGGGGGGGGTCCTATCTGTTCCCTTCCACAGCAGGCTGCCCGGGCTGCCTCCTCTTCGCCGGCCGAGGGTTCAGCCAACGTCGGCCGACCGAGAAGCGCAGCCACACACACCTAGCCCTTCCGCTGCGCTGTCTACAGACGTCTATCCCCTTGCTCCTGGCCCTCCATTCCACCCTGCTCGGTCGCTTGTCTCCAGCCACGACCGCGCTTTCGTCACGGGGTCTCCCTTAAGTACCTAGAGGAGACATTACGCCATCGCCCTGCCCAGCGGGCATGACGTCACGTTTCATGACGTCATCGCACTGGACAGCGCGCGCGACGTCACGTCCTCATATTACTCCTCTACACATGGAAAAATCCCAACCCCCCCCCACCCACCAAAAGCGGCGATAATCCAACCGATTATCCAATCACCAATAATTGCGGGGACTATCACGAGTTATTTGTATGGACACAGGCATGGATAACATTATGTGCCAACGTCACCCCTCCACACTATACCACCCCGCACATTAATGTGGCTAAGGGGACGTTTCACTGCGCTGAAATGTTACACCACGGTGGGGATGACAACATCTCTGTGCTGTCACCGCACGTTGCTGTCACCTGGCGTGACAGGACCCGTGCCTGCTCACACACGTGCCTGCTCACACCCGTGCTGCTCACACACCCGTGCCGCTCACACACCCGTGCCTGCTCCCACACCCGTGCCTGCTCCCACACGTGCCACTCACACACCCGTGCCTGCTCCCACACGTGCTGCTTCCACACGTGCCTGCTCACACACCCGTGCCTGCTCCCACACGTGCTGCTCACACACGTGCTGCTTCCACACCCGTGCCTGCTCCCACACGTGCTGCTTCCACACGTGCCTGCTCACACACCCGTGCCTGCTCCCACACGTGCTGCTCACACACGTGCTGCTCACACACCCGTGCCTGTTCACACCCGTGCCTGCTCCCACACGTGCTGCTCCCACACGTGCAGCTCACACACCCGTGCCGCTCACACACCCGTGCCTGCTCACACCCGTGCCTGCTCACACCCGTGCCTGCTCCCACACGTGCAGCTCACACACCCGTGCCGCTCACACACCCGTGCCTGCTCACACCCGTGCCTGCTCACACCCGTGCCTGCTCCCACACGTGCTGCTCACACACCCGTGCCTGCTCACACACCCGTGCCTGCTCACACACGTGCCGCTCACACACCCGTGCCTGCTCCCACACCCGTGCCTGCTCACACACCCGTGCCTGCTCCCACACCCGTGCCTGCTCCCTTCATTGCAGGACGCCTATTTCCTGCAGCATGCCCTCCAGCAGGCCTCTGCGCTCCAACGCCTCCGTGTCCGAGCCGCCGCCGATGCACTTCTCCCCGATGTACACGCGCGGCACCTGCGGGGCACAGGCGTTCATCCCAGGGTCGGTCGGCAGCGACGCATTGCGGCCAGGGCCGGATTAAGGTTAAGAGGGGCTCTAAGGCAAACAGGAGAGAAGAGCCTGTGTATGTACTGTATGACATTGCAATAAGAAACATTACGAAGTCATTCCACATTTTTCTCTCGCAGTGGCTCTTGGCTCGCTATCGAGCAAAGAGGTCGCTGCATCGCGCACTTTCAGATGCGCTTCTGCGGCCGTCTGGAACGCTCTTCCGACATTAGGAAGCCGTTGGAGTCATGCGCTTTTAAATCCAGATTGAAAACTAATTTCTTTAGAACTGCTTTTTTGTGTTTAGATTGTTGTCCTTCCCCCGCACCTGCAGTTAGCACGGTTGGCTACGTACGGTACGAAATTCAAAGACAAAAGTGTTCTTGACGGCCACAGCACCGTCGCTCAGCGATGTTACTTCACCGTGGAATGGAGAGGCCTAAAGGAGTGCCAGTGGGTTAATCCTGATGAATCTTCTCAACTTGAAACACCTGCCCCCTGCCCCTTGCAATCAGAAATCCAATTCATCCACTGGGTTACATCAGTGCACACCGTGGAATGGAGAGGCCTAAAGGAGGGCCTGTGGGGTAATCCTGCCCAAATGTGGCTGCATCGTAGCCCAATTTGGGCAGGTGATTGTCAATAGGTTTTTTTTTGGGGGGGGTTATTAGCGAGTGTCTTTGTTTGCCATGGCGTCCGACGTTTCGCTCCATGTGCTGGGCAGCTCCAGATTCGTGCCGAACAACATGCGGTAGGACCAAAAATAATACATCGGAGAACTTCACGATGCAACGGGAAGAAAAAAAATGTACGCCCTTGTTACGAGATGTATTCGGACCCCCAGTTAATTCTCAAAAACTTTATATTTTTTTCAAGAAAGCTTTATTTAAAGCAGAAATTAATGTGCAAATAAAAAAACACATGTTTGGGGTCAATGAATGGGGGGGGGGGGGGGGGGGGTGTCACAAGACATCTGGACCACCCTGTTCATTGTCGCTGTACAGTATTTAAAGCCAGGTGCTGTGGGGCGATATTGCCAGCAAAGGGCCTTCATTCGGCAGGGCTATGATTCTTTGTTGTTAGTGTGTACCATATCTGAAGCAGCAACAACCCATTGAGTGAGTCGTACTGTGTAAAACAGTGTACTATAAAACTCAAAAGCAGACATTCTAGATCACCGAGACTCAACAGTTCCAACGCCACGAAGTCAACTATAACTTTGAAGGAATTGCAAACATTTCACCGACACTTTGTTCAACAGTGCAGGGCAAGAGACACTTCATCTTCCGAGTGCTCTTGACACAGCATCCATGCGTCAATGCCCACACAAGCGCCCACCCGCAAACAGCCACTCGACACGTGAGCACGACTAGACACGATGCACGCGACTCAGCCGTAGAGCAAGCGACATTCGATGCACTAAGCTCGTGAATCATGCTCCAACGCTGGACTGTATCTCAAAATAACTGAACCGCGTAATGTTTTGTTAAGCAGTGCCAGTTGTATCTTGACAAGAAACGCCGGGAGACTTTGCGAATTCTTTCCGAGTGAATGAGTCAGCCCGTGGAAAATATTTATTGGTTTCATTGAACGAGACGATGTTGCAAGCCGTTTAGAAATATTATAGTGTGAACATCCCAACACAGGGTGTGATGCGTTTAACACGAAGTATTTACCTCTCACTCAATTTTTTTTCCTAAACGTTGCATCAACTCAAGTAGTGATCACATAACGGAACAAAAGTACAACAAAAATTATTTTAAACGTAATTTAAACATTCGATAATGTGTTATCTCTCTCTGCTTATGTGTCTATGTGTCTCTGGTTCTGTCTTTTAGCTCTCTCTTAAATTTAGCAATCTTTGGAAGAACGTAATCAACCAGGTAGGGTGTTGACTGTTATGTTAGCCGACTCTCTGTGCTGTATTGCATTTTATTTATAAGTTTACTAGGTTTGTTTTCTCATTCTTTTGCACCTGATGATGACTGATTGTGTTGCATTCGAAACGTCGTGTGCTATTATTTAATTGATTATTTTCTCTTTCTACGTGACTTTACCTAAAGAGCCAAAGAGTAATTCCTGCAGTCACGAAAGCACCCAATCGAGTAATTCGACAATGTATACCAAGGGAGAGTGTGTGCATTCATTCTACACTAACCTGTTGCCTGGCCTGTGTCACAATATCGTCCCAGAGTCTACAAGCCGGTTCGTTTAACGTGACAGGTCCACACGGCACCTCCAAGTTGCTGACAAGAATGTGACGTGCCCATGTAGAATCTGCTCTGTCGCTATTTGTGGAGTTGGGTGGTGCCACCAATCCCTCTGGCCTCACCACTATACGGTATATGCGGGTTTTAATGCAACTTCATTGCGCCAGTCTGTGAATGCAAAAGCAGCGTCGTCTGTCGGACGATCGGTCTTCACCATGTGCGTCTGACCGTTTCGGAATGTACTCGCGTAATTATTTGAACACGGAGGTCGTCGCGACGAATATTATCCAAAAGTGTTTTTTTTGGGTTAGACCGCGATGTAACCCAAAAACTTGTATGGATACTCGCGTAATTATTGTCGAACAGAGTCTTGTGACAGTAAGGAAACAGGGAAGTGTGCAGTGGCGTAGCCACGACATTATCAGCTCAGGAGGTGTGGCAATCGGTCACGTGGGGCCCTAATATTTGCTTTGTCTCGTAAAGTCACATCAAGGTTATCGCACTGTAACAAAAAAAAATGTTCCTGCGTAGTAAGTGTTATTTCCTAATTGCTTATGCCTCAAAAGTCCAGAAAAATGGCTATTATTCCCCACAAACTTTGCTTTCGTGAACAGGACAGTTATATTTTGAAATGTACCTATTTTCAATGAGAAAACGTGGTGTGCATGTGTCATTCCTTCACGTAAAGTCCTGGTCACAAAAGCAAAGTTTGTTGGGAATAATAACAGCCATTTTCTATACTTTTTAGGCATAAGCAATTACAAAATAACACTTAGTACCCAGGAACAAATGTTTCATCGTGTTATCTATCGCGGCTTCTCTCGCATAGTCACATCATCATTACACTCACGGTCTAGGACATTGAACGCTGTAGGGGCGCTCCGTCTTCACTTAATGCGGCCACTACAGCTCCATAGTAGTGCCTCTTTGCAATGTACTTGACGCGTATCTAGTGAAATAAATATCCCAGAAACGGGAGTTCCATTTAAAAGCATTTTCATAAAAAAAAATGAAACCGCCGTTTTAAATATTTTTTTGGTCTTTTACACGGTTGTTGAAAGCACATCTGTTGTTAAAACATCTCAACAAGTTCGTGTGGTTAATGCAGACTTGATTCCTTGCTAAATGTATCCATTTGGTGTTTGAACATCTTAACACCTGTTTTGTTGCCAGAAAGGGTCAAACTAATTCTTGTTTTTTCTTATTTTTTAATATTTTGATTTTGGCAAAAAGGTTCCATGATCTATCTCGAGGTTATCAAGGGGGCCCCAACTCGTAGCTTTGGCCACCGGGAGGCGGCGGCAAGGCACCCCCTGCCTGCCCCACGCTCGTTATGCGACTGAGTGTGTACAGCGTTCAATTTGAACGGAGTACGACTTGCAACCCTTGACCTAGGTCAATAAAACTGTGGCCAAACGCTCATTCCAATAAATGCCCTGTTCCACGAATGCACTTTGTCAAGTGACTGCCTACTACACCAGGGGACCCATTCAACAATGACACTGTGTGGTCTTAGAAGGAAAAACATAAAATAGTTGACGTTTCAGGAAATGGTCCTTTGCTAATAGTGCATAAATTTGCCTTGGATATTGTAATTGTACTTTGATTCTGGTTAGAGTAAATTAAAACTAGGTGGCTATATGTTGCCGAAGAAATCCATTATAAAGGTCGCACACATTACACACAAAATACTTGCCACAAATGAACCAGGATTCTTAAAACGAATTTCTTTCGGAACCGTTTTTGCATTTGTTTGTGGTCATTCCTCCGAACCTTTGATTAGCACGGTTGGCTACGTACGGTGCGAAGTAAGTTCAACATACATAAAGTAGGGCAATTTGACAGTTTGTTCTGATGGACGAGTCAAATCTCTCTCCGTGGTGCTAACGTTAAAAATGACTGCCACTTTTTTCAAATTTTCTTGCTGTGGTTTTCACACCTGATGATTGCTTGTGTTGCAGTCCAAACGTCGTGATAATTTTATTGTTTTATATTTTTATTATTTTATTGTTTCCCTTCTTACGTGACTTTACCGAAAGAACCAAGAATATGAATCCCTGCAGTCACGAAAGCTTTAAATTAAAATAAAAACTAAATCTTTTTTTTATTTTACCAGGTAAGGCCCACTGAGCTAGACCGTTCATTTTAAGCAGCGTCCTGGCCACAAATGGCAGCTCAACGAAGCTGCTAATCGCGTGGAAATGTATATCAGCCGAATACTCTGAACGTATGTTTTTAAATGTGGATGGAATAACCGAAGGACCCGGAAAAAAAATAATGGGGAGAACACGCAAACTTAAAATATACGGGCGTCAGGGTTGGGATCAGACCCACGACCTCCAGTATACCACAAACAAAGAGCGGATGTGTGCCAATAAACATTCCGTTATCTCCATAAGAACGTCAAGTATATTCATATTCTTAGCTCTTTCGGTAAAGTCACGTTGAAAGAGCTAAGAATATGAATGACTGCAGTCACGAAAGCTTTAAATCAAAACGTCAAGTATGTTACAATGGCTAAGTTCCTTATTGACATGACTACCCAGAAATAAAGGTTGCTAGTGTCACTCAGCACACACACACACTCAATGCTTGCCGTTGTTAAAACAAACCAGGAAAATGCCTCTTACACAGTGAGGGTTTCAGTGAGAGTGAAGAGTTTCAGTAATATGCATAGTTGAGTTGGGCAACTTATTAAATTGAGTCACGTGTTACATTTTGAGGTTATGACCATACTTCACCACGCTGGTCAGTGTGGGTTGGTGTCGTCAGAGGAGCACACATATATAGACATAGTGCACACAAGTGGAAGTTTGTTTGTAGTACAGTACAGTGCCCACGAGTTAGCCAGTCGGGAGATAGAAACGACACAATGGCTGTAAATGTCCATTTAATGAGCGTTCGCGGTTCCAAAGCTGATGATTGTGCGAGTGAACCAAATACGTGGCTTCATGTTTGTGTTACGAATAAGAATAATAAGAACCATTCAGCAAAGTTCATGGGCAGTGAGTGGCGCAGTCTTGCTTTAAAAAAAAAACACAACGGCAGTTGGCTTATTTTACAAGCAGGGTCATATGACCATCATGTGCCCCTTATGTAACATCCCAGTCATTTTACACAACACTGTGTCCGTGGCGTGTGCAAGCCACATCTACCTCAGACTTGCCATAAAATCATATGAATTGAAAAAAAAAACTTAACTTTTCATGTATTTATTTTTTGAAATTTATTTTGCAATTTTTACTTTCGCTCAAGTCGGTGACAGCCGCCGAGTCCGTGACGCGTTTCTTGTCTCATTCTAGTTGCTGCCCGATGCCCTCGCTATACATTTCATTTCATTTAGTTTTCATTTTCATTTTTTGGTATAGCCCTGTGAGCCATTCGGCTCTTGAATCGATATTGTCACGTAAAATAAAGACTGATTGACCGATTGATTCCCTATAATCCATTGCATATGCCACATGACGGTAAATGACACAAGGCGTGTGGACAAATCCAACCCCCCATGACTTGCGCGGTGTGGGAGCGACCCTCATCCAGCAGTGGAGTGACAACGAGTTGTGCATGGTGGGATGCGACACAGCAACACGAAATCGCACGGCCGCGATCGAGAAGTGAAGGCAGTGACATGAAAACTCCGCGCTGATAACATTCCGTGAGACAGTATTCCAAATCAAAGACAAACACGACGAGTAGACATTCGCGAAAATGATTTACAGCCCTTGGGTCAATCCACTGCTGGATGAAGGCCATGTTGGTTCATGGGGGATGCTTGACCATACTTCACCACGCTGGTTAGTTCTGCTCGGTGGAAGGGGGAGTGGGGGGGGTTGACAGATCAAGTTCAGATAATTATCACTCACCGCCGATGTTGGCCGTGACCAGGAATCGAAATTGTCAGGCAGGCTCGTAAAGTATTGCTCTGCGCCACCCGCTCCACCCAGTAAATACTACCCAGTAAATACTGTTATCTTAACGTTAAGATAAGGGAATGGGGATGCGGCGGAGGGTAGGCGAGTCAGCATAAATTAAATGATCAAAGTTAAGGCGATCGAAATGTACACTTCTTCCGAACTTCTTTGAACAGCTAATTCATTACAATTAAACCACGTGTTGTAGGCTGCTACCGGGGCAACGTAATCGGCAAGGGAAGAGTGAAACAGCATCCATTGTTGTACCCTACTATGTTCCGTCTATGCTCCCACGGCCTGGTGATATATGTGCCGACAATCCCGAGGGAGTGCAGAGGCCCTCAATCTGGCCAAGACGGTTGCCGAAAGTAAAAAATGGACTTTCGGCCGAAACCGAAAGTTTGCCGAAAGTTAAAAATGGACTTTCGGCCGAAACTGAAACTATGCCAAAAGTGGCCGCCGAAACCGAATTTCGGTCGGCCTCTACACCAGAGCTCACAACTGTGGTCAGTGTGGGTTGGTGAAGGCCGGCAGGGAGCATAGAATTACACGTCAACCACAGCAAAGCCTATAACACCTGCTGTGCATGGTGGTGCGTAAGTGATGATGATGCTGCTACTGATAATGACAGCACTGATTAACACTGCTGCTGATAATAATAATCTGATTAAGTCATCATACTCAGTGCCTAACTTCAGCTGGAATAAATAAAGAACGCCGTTCGGATAATTAACTTAAACGGCATCCACAAAACGTCGTCTCTTTTTTTTTAACGAGAACCACGCGAACAAACAATGCTAAAGTGCACGGATCTAATTTGTTCATAGGACAAGGCAGTGGTTCTTCACCTTGACTGCAGCCTCGCACCCCCATTGGTTTTCAATCGTAAATACAAAATGTACAATGTTAATAAACACACAGGGTTTCATGAAACTAAGTCGGTGCGCGCCTGCACCCCAGGTTAAGATGAAGAACCAGAGACGCGTTTATCCTGAGACAAAGCAGTCTACAATGTTACTATAACGGATTGCGTAATGGCTAGGCGTGGTCCCTACTCAAGTGGTAGTGGTGGTGGTGATGCCTTAGGGCTTAAGGCGACAAATGCCCACTCCGAACCAGCCGAGCAGTTTGGAAAACCAAACTCGGACAATTACAAATCAGCCAGGTGCCGTTGCCATTGCCGGCGCTGCTGATGCCACCAAACGCGGTCGACGACACCGACACCAACACCACCGGTGACTAACAACATTGGCGAATGACACCGACACTAACACTAACACTACCGGTGACTAACAACATTGGCGAATGACACCGACACTAACACCACCGGTGACTAACAACATTGGCGAATGACACCGACACTAACACCACCGGTGACACCAACGCTGCCCATGACATTTGACACAGCCGACGACACCGACGCTGCAGCCGGCAACCCCGCCGCCCACGAGAACCCAAAATCGACACGATTAATGCCACCCGGTGACACTGCCACGGCCGCCGACGGCGACAAAAAGAAAACACCACCACCACACACACACAGAGCGCTACCGCCAGACACATCGTCACCACCACCATCATCATCATCATGACGAGGACGACACGTGCGCCCGTTACCGTTCTCTCCCCGGTGGTGCGGAGGAAGAAGTCCTGAATCTGCGCCACCGCCTGCTCGCTGCCGATGTCGTGCACCTCCAGGGCGCCCACTCTGAAGCGGTACTTGGACAGCACCGCCTCGGCCGCCGTGCAGAAGGGGCAGCCGCGCTTCACGAACACCACCACCTTGCCCGCTCGCACCCTGCTCGTCACGTACAGCTGCGCCATGCCCACGACGGCGGCGTCGGCGTCGTCGCGATCGATCGGTCGAGACGCGGACAAGAAGATGACTGCGGCCGTGGCGATGAGAAGCAGCAGCGGCGGCAGCAGCAGCAGCGGCAGCAGGGGGGGGTGCAGGAAGAGACGCGGGCAGCTGAAGACGGCGGAGTCGCGGCTGGGCGCGGCCGTGCCACCCTCCTCCTCGTGTAGGAGGGAGGGGGGCATGGCCCAGCCCACGGCTGAGCGAGCGAGCGAGCGGTGCGCATCCCCCGTTCGAGTGATTGCCAAGCGAGACGGGGGCGGCGGTGGTGGTGGTGGGGGAAGACGTCCACTAGAGGTCTCTCTCGCGACACAGACAAAGATCCTCCCCGCCGTGTAGCCTCCCAATAGGCTGTACGGGCAAGTGCTGTGAGTAGCAGCACCTATACACAAAGACCCACCGTGTAGCCTCTAACAGACTGTAGGGGCAAGTGCTGTGAGTAGTAGGAAGTAGCAGCCTATACACAGACAAAGATCCCTCGTGTAGCCTCTTACAGACTGTAGGGGCAAGTGCTGTGAGTAGCGAGTAGCAGCACCTATACACAGACAAAGATCCCCCGTGTAGCCTCCAATAGGCTGTAGGGGCAAGTGCTGTGAGTAGCAGCACCTATACACAGACAAAGATCCCCCGTGTAGCCTCCAATAGGCTGTAGGGGCAAGTGCTGTGAGTAGCAGCACCTATACACAAAGATCCCCCGTGTAGCCTCTAACAGACTGTAGGGGCAAGTGCTGTTAGTAGTAGCAAGTAGCAGCCTATACACAGACAAAGATCCCCCGTGTAGCCTCTAACAGACTGTAGGGGCAAGTGCTGTGAGTAGCAGTACCTATACACAGACAAAAATCCCCCGTGTAGCCTCTAACAGACTGTAGGGGCAAGTGCTGTGAGTAGCAGCACCTATACACAGACAAAGTTCCCCCGTGTAGCCTCTAACAGACTGTAGGGCAAGTGCTATGAGTAGCAGCACCTATACACAAAGATCCCCCGTGTAGCCTCTAACAGACTGTAGGGGCAAGTGCTGTGAGTAGTAGCAAGTAGCAGCCTATACACAGACAAAGATCCCTCGTGTAGCCTCTAACAGACTGTAGGGGCAAGTGCTGTGAGTAGCAGCACCTATACACAGACAAAGATCCCCCGTGTAGCCTCCAATAGGCTGTAGGGGCAAGTGCTGTGAGTAGCAGCACCTATACACAAAGATCCCCCGTGTAGCCTCTAACAGACTGTAGGGGCAAGTGCTGTTAGTAGTAGCAAGTAGCAGCCTATAAACAGACAAAGATCCCCCGTGTAGCCTCTAACAGACTGTAGGGGCAAGTGCTGTGAGTAGCAGTACCTATACACAGACAAAAATCCCCCGTGTAGCCTCTAACAGACTGTAGGGGCAAGTGCTGTGAGTAGCAGCACCTATACACAGACAAAGATCCCCCGTGTAGCCTCTAACAGACTGTAGGGCAAGTGCTATGAGTAGCAGCACCTATACACAAAGATCCCCCGTGTAGCCTCTAACAGACTGTAGGGGCAAGTGCTGTTAGTAGTAGCAAGTAGCAGCCTATACACAGACAACGATCCCCCTGTAGCCTCTAACAGACTGTAGGGGCAAGTGCTGTTAGTAGCAGCACCTATACACAAAGATCCCCCGTGTAGCCTCTAACAGACTGTAGGGGCAAGTGCTGTGAGTAGCAGCACCTATACACGGACAAAGATCCCCCGTGTAGCCTCTAACAGACTGTATGGGCAAGTGCTGTGAGTAGCAGAACCTATACACGGACAAAGATCCCCCGTGTAACCTCTAACAGACTGTAGGGGCAAGTGTTGTGAGTAGCGAGTAGCAGCACCTATACACAAACAAAGATCCCCCGTGTAGCCTCTAACAGACTGTAGGGGCAAGTGCTGTGAGTAGCAGCACCTATACACGGACAAAGATCCCCCGTGTAGCCTCTAACAGACTGTATGGGCAAGTGCTGTGAGTAGCAGAACCTATACACGGACAAAGATCCCCCGTATAGTCTCCAACGTACTGTAGGGGCAAGTGCTGTGAGTAGCAGCACCTATACACGGACAAAGACCCCCCGTGTAGCCTCTAACAGACTGTAGGGGCAAGTGTTGTGAGTAGCGAGTAGCAGCACCTATACACAGACAAAGATCCCCCGTGTAGCCTCTAACAGACTGTAGGGCAAGTGCTATGAGTAGCGAGTAGCAGCACCTACAGTGAGGGAAAAAATATTTGATCCCCTGCTGATTTTGTACGTTTGCCCACTGATAAAGAAATGATCAGTCTATAATTTTAATGGTAGGTTTATTTGAACAGTGAGAGACAGAATAACAACAAAATCCAGAAAAAACGCATGTCAAAAATGTTATAAATTAATTTTCATGAGGGAAATAAGTATTTGACCCCTCTGCAAAACATGACTTAGTACTTGGTGGCAAAACCCTTGTTGGCAATCACAGAGGTCAGACGTTTCTTGTAGTTGGCCACCAGGTTTGCACACATCTCAAGAGGGATTTTGTCCCACTCCTTTTTTAAGATCTTCTCCAAGTCATTAAGGTTTCGAGGCTGACGTTTGGCAACTCGAACCTTCAGCTCCCTCCACAGATTTTCTATGGGATTAAGGTCTGGAGACTGGCATAGGCCACTCCAGGACCTTAATGTGCTTTTCGATTTAAAGCTTTCGTGACTGCAATGATTCATCTTCTTTGGTTCTTTCGGTAAAGTCACGTAGAATGAGAATAAAATAATAAATTGATAAAATAAAATAACACAATAATATTCTCACGACGTTTCGGCCACAACACAAGCGGCCTTCATCAGGTGAAGGGATGAGACTGTCTGGTAGGACAGCGCTGGAGTGAAAGAGCCACGTTCAGATCACGACCTTTAAGCTGTGTGAGAGGAAACAAAGCGCCTTGACAAAGGAATTAGCATATAATTTAGCATTGAAATGGCTGAGTGATTAGCTTGTGACTGGTCACAGAAATAGCTATGTTAAAAGTTAAAGCATACACATCTGCAGAGGCACCCCTTGATAAAGGAATTAGCATAGAATTTAGCATTGAAATAGCTAAGTTAAAGCATACACATCCGCAAAGGCACCCCTTGACAAAGGAATTAGCATAGAATTTAGCATTGAAATAGCTGAGTGATTAGCTTGTAACTGGTCACAGAAATAGCTACGTTAAAGTCAGAGCATACACATTCACCGAGGCACTTAGTACAAATCAAACAGGAGAATTTAGCATTGAAATAACTAGGCGAATTTAGCATTGAAATGACTGAGTGATTAGCTTTGTTGCCTTGGCCGTGTGTTTTGGGTCATTGTCATGTTGGAATACCCATCCACGACCCAATTCCAATGCCCTGGCTGAGGGAAGGAGGTTCTCACCCAATATTTGACGGTACATGGCCCCGTCCATCGTCCCTTTGATGTGGTGAAGTTGTCCTGTCCCCTTAGCAGAAAAACACCCCCAAAGCATAATGTTTCCACCTCCATGTTTGACGATGGGGATGGTGTTCTTGGGGTCATAGGCAGAATTCCTCCTCCTCCAAACACGGCGAGTTGAGTTGATGCCAAAGAGCTCCATTTTGGTATCATCTGACCACAACACTTTCACCCAGTTGTCCTCTGAATCATTCAGATGTTCATTGGCAAACTTCAGACGGGCATGTATATGTGCTTTCTTGAGCAGGGGGACCTTGCGGGTGCTGCAGGATTTCAGTCCTTCACGGCGTAGTGTGTTACCAATTGTTTTCTTGGTGACTATGGTCCCAGCTGCCTTGAGATCATTGACAAGATCCTCCCGTGTAGTTCTAGGCTGATTCCTCACCATTCTCATGATCATTGCAACTCCACGAGGTGAGATCTTGGATGGAGCCCCATGCCGAGGGAGATTGACAGTTCTTTTGTGTTTCTTCCATTTGCGAATAATCGCACCAACTGTTGTCACCTTCTCACCAAGCTGCTTGGCAATGATCTTGTGGCCCATTCCAGCCTTGTGTAGGTCTACAATCTTGTCCCTGACATCCTTGGAGAACTCTTTGGTCTTGGCCATGGTGGAGAGTTTGGAATCTGATTGATTGCTTCTGTGAACAGGTGTCTTTTATACAGGTAACAAGCTGAGATTAGGAGCACTCCCTTTAAGAGTGTGCTCCTAATCTCAGCTCGTTACCTATATAAAAGACACCTGGGAGCCAGAAATCTTTCTGATTGAGAGGGGGTCAAATACTTATTTCCCCCATTAAAATGCAAACCAATTTATAACATTTTTGACATGCGTTTTTCTGGATTTTGTTGTTATTCTGTCTCTCACTGTTCAAATAAACCTACCATTAAAATTATAGACTGATCATTTATTTGTCAGTGGGCAAACGTACAAAATCAGCAGGGGATCAAAGACTTTTTTCCTCTCACTGTATACACAGAGAAAGATCCCCCGTGTAGCCTGTAACAGACTGTATGGGCAAGTGCTGTGCGTAGCGAATAGTAGCACCTATACACAAAGATCCCCCGTGTAGCATGTAACAGACTGTATGGGCAAGTGCTGTGCGTAGCGAGTAGCAGCACCTATACACAAAGATCCCCCGTGTAGCCTCTAACAGACTGTAGGGGTCCATAATATCGGTGTTTTTTGGGTTACAGGGTGTGAATATCAATGTGTCGTTAAACCTGCCACCACCCGACACAACCAATTAATATGGTTTGTGACGTGGGCAAAATGTGCCAATTCGTTACTAGTTCAGCACACCGATGTGTTGAAGAGTAAACCCACATTTACAATTCGAATACATTACTTTTATAAGTGAGCCATGCATGCCTCGAGTTTTGCTGGCTGGCTGCTGGCTGGGCTCCTGCCCACCCCAACGATAGCTCTGTGTTGTTAGTGTCTGCTGCTCCGGCCCGTCGACTTTTATCGGGAGGGTCCTGCCAAATGTTCCAATTGAGTCATTTGTGGGTTGTTATTTTTTTTTCTAATTTGGTAAATTTTGAAACCGTGACGCCCGGCACACAATGGCTCCACTCTTTCGAGCGAGGCAGCAGGGGTCTTTACCGACCGCCGCGGTATTTCTATGGTTAATAAGCGTGCGGTATTTGACACGGACACTGTACGTACGTTTTCAAACCCATTTACCGATCCCTTGACCCGCAATTGATGTCTGGGTTGGGACATGTAACGGTCTGACACAAATCTCCCATTGTAAGCCCTCCACCACCCGACACAAGCAAGCTAGTTGTCACGTGTAGAAATGTTTATTGCGCCAATTGTCGTGAGCTTACCGATTCGTTGAGCAATCTTCACAACCAAACGTATCGATTAGATACACTGCTGACATTGGTACTCCCCACCTCTGATGACAGTGGCACTGCTGATGACCATAACACTACTGACACTTCTACTAATACTGCTGATCATACCAAAAACTGCTGCTGACACTCACACGAACACTGGTAATGACAACAACACAGCTGATGATATATACTATACTGATGACACCAACACTGGTAACAACACTGACACTGTTTATGAGACTTATACCGCTGATAACACAAGCAATGCCGCGTTCTGATTGGCTGCAGCGGTTGGGATTGGTCGAATATGCCTCGATGGGTAGTAAAAAGATGGAATTTTGGAGTTCATGTGTAATGACATGGTGACACCTGCTGGCCGGGAAAGGGAATCACGGGTACAGGCACGGTTAAGTGCCAACCAATCAGAGAAGAAGTTGTATCTGGGGCAAAGGTAACACGTGGGGTTAGCCCAGATACTCCGGGAACCTGCTCGAAGGTTCCACGAGAGGGCGTGGCCGGAGGCGGGGCCTAGCCACGCCTGGGGGGATATAAGAGGGAGCGGACCCGGGGCTCAGGGCTCGCGTGTGGGGTCCTGGCTGCGTTGCTGCTCGCCGTCATCGCTCTCCGTCGTCCGGCCACGTGGAAGATCTCCAGCGGGGTTCCCATCGCCCTCACTCGGCCACGCCGCCAGCTAGCGGCGTGGCCAAGGGCGGTGGGACCACGCCGAGTGATCGGCTGTGCGTGTAGCCAGTAGAGACGTTAATATCTTAAGAGTTGTACTCAAGAGTGAGAAGGATAAGTGTTGGCCTGTGTTGTGCCCAGTGTGAGAAATAAAAGTACCCTCTACACGTGTTGAGTAGCTTGATGACGTCATGGGGCAGTGGGATGACGTCATGTGACGGGGATTGTAAGTGGGTACTTAAGGGGGACCCCGTTGTGGGAGTCCGGGCTGTGTAGCAGCTGAGAGGTCTCCCGCTCGTTAACGAGACGGAGTTGGCTGAACTCCCGTCCGGGTTCGACGAGAGGGAGAGCCGTCGAGTTGGCCGAGGGTAAGGCTCGAGAAAGTTCGTGAGAGCCGGCTAGGGAGACAATGCATGCCTCTATCAAAATCGGCATCAATTAATTCGCTACTTTAAAGCAATTTACATTTTGTATGGACGCCTTATTAATTATATATTTGTGTAGGTCAAACGCCGCGGTCCCCTAAACTCTCGAATCGCCTCGCCCAAGAAGCAGGCGCCCACGTGTCTCAGGCGCCACGTGTCTCAGGCGCCACGTGTCTCAGGCGCCACGTGTCTCAGGCGCCACGTGTCTCAGGCGCCACGTGTCTCAGGCGCCACGTGTCTCAGGCGCCACGTGTCTCAGGCGCCACGTGTCTCAGGCGCCACGTGTCTCAGGCGCCACGTGTCTCAGGCGCCACGTGTCTCAGGCGCCACGTGTCTCAGGCGCCACGTAGGCGCCACGTGTCTCAGGCGCCACGTGTCTCAGGCGCCACGTGTCTCAGGCGCCACGTGTCTCAGGCGCCACGTGTCCTCAGGCGCCACGTGTCTCAGGCGCCACGTGTCTCAGGCGCCACGTGTCTCAGGCGCCACGTGTCTCAGGCGCCACGTGTCCTCAGGGCGCCACGTGTCTCAGGCGCCACGTGTCTCAGGCGCCACGTGTCTCAGGCGCCACGTGTCTCAGGCGCCACGTGTCTCAGGCGCGCCTGCTCCGTATGAACGAGTTACGGGCACCCTCACTCCACACAAAAGTTGTGCATTGAAGATTCGTTTATAAAATAAACAATTAAAGTGATGCGCCGCATCATTGACGGACTTCTCGACCACTAGTTAAACGAAGTTGTGAATAAAACCGTAAAAAATTTAAGGAGTTTTCATTTCTCGGTGGCCTGACATGGTTGCCAAGAGGAGCATATCCACATCCAGGCTACCCGTGACTTCCACTTAAAATTAAACTTCCAACAAAGCTATAAATTATCGTTGAGTTTTGGTATGTAGAAAAATGTGTTCGTGACAATGATGCAAGACTGCCGATTTGAAGTCATTAAATTATACATTTTTACCTTTTGGCAATCCACTGCTGGATGGAGCACTTCTCCATGTGTTAGTCGTGGGGAGTTTGACCATACTTCAAAATCATGCTGGCCAGTGCAATGCTAATCTATTTGAAACCAGTTTGTATTTTACCTAGGCCCACTGAGCTATATAGCTTTCTTAGAAGCTACCTGGCCACAAATTATTGCTCAACCATGTGGCTTTTATCACCTGGACATTTATAGCAGCCTAAACGCATGTTTTATGAGACCTCCTTTGCCAGTAACAAGATATAGGAATAGGTTTTACCCTTTTAACGCCTTTTGGCGTCTTCTGGTTCAACACCAATGGAGACTAGGCTCTAAGAAAAGCTGTCTCGGGTGTGGACCAATGTTGTGGTTATTGCAAACATGATGCCTTGAATAAAGGTGTCAGTTTTTGTGCCAGTTAAAAGGGTAAAACCTATTCCTATAAACGCATGTTTCTAAATATGGAGTGGAAAAACCAGAGGACTTGGGGAAAAAAATTCCACAGGACCACGGAGAGAGACATGCGAACTCCAAATATATATCAGGGTCAGGATCGAACCCACGACCGTCTGTATACCAGTTGAGGTAGTTTACATCTAGGCACCGCGGGTGGGGGGGGGATCAGGACCAGTTCACATACCACTCGTCACGGGTGCAAACCGTGGCCAGGAATCGGACGCGGGTCAAACGACTGCACCACCGCTCCCACCCTGGCCAGACTTATATAAATCGCTTGCAAATCGCTTTGCATGAACAATAAAGGGGGGGTTCACGAGTTGGAGATCCATCGGGGTCACCTCGAACATTTCTCGCGCGCCAGTTTATGAGTGAAAAAGGCCAGGATGAGCTCAAACCAAGACAATAGCTCCCAGTAGACTATTGCATTTATTTTAAAACAAATTATGCTTCATCGGTCAGTAAGGCGAAGTTTTACACAGGATTTTAAAGGTGTTCCCATTACCACGTGGAGATGCAAACGAGACTCAAACAGAACGGCATGAATTTGATGGGAAAAGGGGCTTTCTTGACATGTTTAATTCCAATTGTAATAAACATACAAAACAATGTTGCACAGGGCGGGTTTAAATTCCTGTGGCATGTATTTACAGTTGAAGCCTATGGTAATAAACACCTGCGACTGATAACTTTGCTTCCCCCCAAACATAAAGTAACTTAAAAAAAATTGCAGGACGGTGCTTGCACGTTTAAAAAAATAATTAAATGGAAAGAAAAAGTAGAATCTCCCCCCCCCCCCCCCCTGCCCCCACCTTGGTTAGAATGGCAAGGGCATCAGTTTCCAAAGTTGAGAAAACAGCACTATTTGATTTAGTAGAAACCCATCCTTACCAACTCAAAACCCATACCCCCATTTTCCTCCATGAACCGTTGGGCTAGGCGAGCACACACTATACCGCCAACATGATGTCGTTGCGCCATTGAAAACAGCGCAGCACGCTACTGCAAGCGACGCGAGCGAATGGCGAGAACAAATTTAATTTGAACTCTGCTCCACAGCGTGCATTAACACAGTAGCCACCCACAGCTATGCGCCAATGGTCACAACAGCACGGAACAAAAGCGCAGCACTCCAGACACACATGAAACGATATTAAGGACAAACGGCGCACGGCAAGCTTGTCGCGCACCAAAACAAGTGAACGTGAAGACCAACCTGACGTGGGCGTGCACGCGACAACCCGGCCTGCGTTCCCCGTCGTTAATAAATTATCGCAAGACACCGAGCGAGCGAGTGCGTGCGTTGGTTGTGCCGAGTGCCCTAAACCTCAAAAAGGAATGGAGCTTCCGGTGCAGGCAAGGCACTGCTTTCTCGCTCCCTCTGCTTGTCAAAGTTGATGGCGAGGACCCACAGGTTGTTGCGCGGGCCGCACAAAGACTTCCCAATCATCACGACCACCGGGTGTCAATGCGAATGGCTATGACGAAGGCCAAATCAAACAAGCTTAAAGTTAAATTATAGTTTTCAATGTATTACGCGCATCTCCCCCCCCCCCCTCCACCCCCGGCCTACCCCATCTTACACTTGTTTGGTTTGCCTTCGTTCAAAAAAACGACAGGATCCACAATGTCGCCAGTTCATCAAGTATCGATACCTTGTGTGACGCTAGCTTCAAAAAAATCAAATGATGCCAATAAGTCAATGTCAGGTAAAAATGTGATGTTGTACCAAGGTAATGCATGGCACGCCCTAGCGGAGCAATAAAAACCCAAATCACCTGGACAATATCTGGATGCAATAGTATTAAATGCGCACAGGCAATAAAATTACACTTACTCAAACCCAAACACTGCAGCATCAATTCATCCTCAATTTGAACGTGTGTGTGGGGGGGGTACAAGCCGTAATTACAACTCGTCCTTAGGTTTTGGGTCATCTTCATCATCGTCATCTTCAGGCTCATCAAAGTCGTCCTTCGCCTTGTCTGCATCATCATCGTCGTCATCGTCATCGTCACCGCCGTCATCTTTGTCGTCTGGCTCAGGATGATTCTTCATCTCCTCGTCACGTTTCTTTCTCTCCTCTTCATCCTGCGCCTCCTTCATTTTCTTCTCACCTTCCTGTTGTGGGAGAATACACATTTGAGGTTGAGCGCTGAACGTCCCGACACCGTCGATCGAACGTGCAAAGACGCACGAGCGACCGATCTATTTTATACTCAAGTCCCTTCACAATGTGTGCAGCGTGTACGTCTTATCGCAGAACCAAGCCTTGCGCGATTGGTGCGGCCAAGAATCCTCTCACCTTGGTGACTCCCCACGTCTCCTCACCAATGGTCTCGGCATACTTCTCGTCGTCGGTGATGAGGAAGCTGTCGAATATCGTTCCAGATTTCACCTGTGAATGATAAATCACGAATTAAGCACCACCACAAACCAAGGCAGTAGTAGGAGGGCATACCAACTGACTGCAGGGGAGGCACAGCTACATGAACAAAAACTCACTTCATTAGCCCGGTGTTTTCAGGAGCTGTGGCCAAATTAGGCATGCTTGGGCACCCCACACATGATGCAAGAAAGTACACCGGGGCCCATGTGCCTACTTTGTGGGGACCAAAACCTTAGAAGCAGTGCTCTTCAAATAATCCTGAATATAAAATGTATTGTTGTAGGGTGTGAATATGCAGCATTCAAATCAGCCCAACACTTTATACAAATTATGGGAAACTCGGGACAAGTGTCCGATGGCATGCGCCTTACTTTGCGGCAACATCTAATAATCGAGGGATATAGTGCTACACGAGGACGCTCACCTGCCAGAGATCCAGACCGATGACCCCGATATTCTCCGAGAGGTAGATGTTGGAGTCGGGTGCGTACTCTGGGTTGTCAATCTCTGGGTGCACCCACACTCCCTTGTACTTAGGGTTGTCAATTTGGCGGGGTTTCCACTCTCCCTGTGAGCGAGTCCAAACATGCAGTCATCAACATCAGGCGTACGGCCGAGAGAAGCAGCCTCAACAATCATCATCACTTTCATTTACACACCGAATGCATCATCCTACAAGGACCAACTTCACAACAATTTTACATTGTAATGACCATTCACCATAAATACCATCCATATCAGCTCACCAAATGAAATGTTCACGCTCATGATCAGCCATGATCCATGCGCTAAACCAAGGCATTCCCATGCCATCACCATCCCCAATTCTCATGAGACCACAAATTCACTGTGTGCCACAGAAAAGCCTCGGAGAGAGCATGTCCTTGCGCAACAGACGTTTTTGTTCATTCTTAACATCAAAAACATCAAGGAACAGCTGAGCTACTCTGGTTTATACCACCTCCATCTCACTTTATCATTCATAACAACTCGTGTACAGCTTTCTCTCAAGGTGGACAAATTAGGTGCAATGGCCAATGACACACCAGTGCTAATGCACTGGTGTGTCAAGGGAACCAATTGACTTTCAGCCACTTGTACTCACTCTTTGGTAAGATCACCATTGAGTAGGTTAATGGCCTACCGGTGATGCTGCTGACCTTTACCATGAAAAAATTAACTGCCAATTGGTTTGCAACGACAAGCCACCAGCCAGCAGATACAAATTAATTTATGTACAATTTTAAAGCATCGCTATTGGCCAATTAATTGTGAAAGTACAATTCAAAACGGGATGGTAATTCTCGCAATCCAGGTGCAAAAAGTACCGTTGTTGACATCGAACTTTTCAAACGGATAAAAAGGAGACATTTTACATTCGTCCAGCGTTACGTATGGGTTCCCTGTACTAACCGTCTAACAACTCGGATCAATTGTAAATGCAGGCGCCGTATCTATTTCCACGTCAAGATAATAGTAACAATCCTTCCAACAAGCACAATTCATGCACTCGGTCAATACCAAGCTGCTTTGTAGTCATCTTATTTGCCAAACGATTTCAAACGTCAGACAAGGCTCCTTAGCCAGCCATTGACAAAAATCAATGCAATAAGCTTTTTTTTTAATTGGCTACAGAGCCACGCCTGTGTGACCTTAGACACACGCTGCTCTACATGAGCAGCACTCACCTTGTACTCGGGATTCTCCACCATGGGTGGCTCCCACTCTCCGTCCATCTCGTCATCCCAATCTTCCGGCTTCTTGGCATCGGGGTCAGGAATGTGCTCTGGCTTTTCCCAATCCTTGGTGGGCAGAAAAAAAGACTTTACAATTGGCTAATGTTGACCAAATCTGACAAGCAGCCACAATTCATAATGGGTCATTACATTTTGCTGTCCGAAATTGTACCACAGAAATCATGGTCGTTCGTCACTGTTATATGCAATACGATGCTTAATTACATTTGCATAATGTAATGGTTCCATAATTTTATGGCCAAATAGGCTTTATATGAACACACTTGTCACTTGATTTGGAGCTTTTCGTGACTGCAGGAATTACTTTGGTTCTTTCGGTAAAGTCACGTAGAAAGGGGCAATTAATTATTTTTTTAATACTTGTCGCTGCGACAGGAATGACATCCACCAACAGCTTGTGGCTGCAAACAGATGAGCGACGCCACAGGCTCGTTTTAATTTAAGTGCTGGACTCAAGGGTGCTCAAGGGAAAGTGGACAGCACAAGGAGTGTATACAGTAGCCAATTGCAAGTGGCAATTTATTGATCATCCTCTCCAATAAACAAATGCCCATTTAATCTTCCCCCAAAAACGGCTCTCGCCGCAAGTACCTCTGGTTTGACATCGGTGGGGTCGTCAATCTTGGACTGGTCCTCCCAGTCCTCGGGCTTGTGTGCCTCGGGGTCCTTGATCTTCTTGGCCGGCAGGATGTCCCAGTCTTCCTCCAGGCTGCCAGACTCAACCTTCTTGTTGTCGATCTTGACCTCATAGGTCTGGTCTGGCCTCACGATCAGCGTGTACAGGTGGGTGTACTCGTCATCCTGCCAAAGCACAGAGAACCCAGGCCAAGAGTGAGGGGATCCCCCTCGCAGCGCACCGAGCATATCACACTGCTCCCCAAATTCCATTGAAAAATTTTAGATACAATGTATATACGTATTTTTGTATCCGACTAGTGAGACAAGATATTACTTCGGCAACACCGGTGTAATTCGATGTTTTGAATGATCTAAATTGCTGTATTAGAATATTCCACATTACAATTTTAAAATCGCTTTTTTAAACATTATTTTCTTTGTAAATTATCCTCCATAAACCTACTATTTAAATTTACCCGACATCTCCATTGTAGAACAGACGCAGTCTCCATGGACTCCGTTAACCGCACGTGTCACGGTTTTGCTCTTGTTTGCTCACCTTGCAGCGTATGTCCTTGTTTATGAGGTGGTTCTTGCCCTTGTAGTTAAAGATGACGTGAACCTTCTTGGTTCCTGGCCCGCAAATGTCTGGCCCTGGAGACAAGACAACAAGATGGACACGAATTAATCCTGAGCCCCATCATTCATTTAATCCAAGCATTAACTGAAAACACATACCTCTAATACAATGCCAACTTGCTAAAGTTAATTTTATCAGGGTGCTTTAAGATCACTTATAGACATTTATAAACATTGGCATTGCCGAAGACTCTGGTCCTCACCTCATGCAAGCATGTGCTTTCCTGCCAAAGTGGATATTTTCTGCCACCTAATGGTAGAAACAGCCCATTACCAATTCACCTAGAATGTACCCAATCTTATCAGATGGGTGACCACCATGCACAGGAAGGGATTACGTGGTAGGCAGTAGGAAGGGCAGTAAATGTATTATTGTCCTGCGGTTCTACACTTCTACATAGACTCCCAGCCATCAACCCATAATGACCAGAATTAAGTATGGTCAAATAACCCTCATGACACGAATAAGTGGCAAGGCCTTATTCCAGAATTTGAATGACAAAAATATATTTAGACACAGACACACATACATTGTTGAACATCACATTTCTGCCAAAACATTAAATGTTGGTAAATTAGAAACTCAAAACGTTGGGATTCCAGTCTAGCTTGTTTTCAAGTTAACCCATGGAGAAAATGAAATTCCAGATGTTCAGATGAACTAGGGCTGGTAGAGCCACAGTGTAATAGTATGGGCGCTCCCACTAAGCTCACCGCAACGATTGTGACAAACTATAAACATTTTTTTTTCTCTTACCAAGTAAGGCCCACTGAACTATGCAGCTTTTCTTCAGAAGTGACCCGGCCACAAACAATAGCGCAAAGTGACTTATCGTCATGTGGAAATGTATCGCGGTAGCTGAATATTAAAAAGAAAAACTGCACGTCGAGTCTTAATCAAGCAGCGGTGACCCACCGAACATGATGAAGTATTGGGAGTCGCCGTGCATCTCCTCCTGGTTCATGTCCTTAGGGAAGAGCTTGATGTAGCCACCGCCGCAGTCGATGTTCTGCTCATGCTTCACGGTGAACTGGATCACCAGGGTCTTGTCCTTGTTGCTGAAGCTGTCGAAGCCAGCGGAGAGTGCGTAGAACCGGGCATCTTGACTCGTTTGCAGACCTGCAACATGGGGGAGCAACTTATAATCAGAATATTTATTTATACTGGAGGAATCCGATGAGCTATTATAATCTCTTTTTCACAGATGTCCAGTCGGGGCATGTAAGAACATTACAACAAACAATACAAAAACATGATTGGACTGCAATGTACAAGGTAAACAAACCACCCAAGCACAAACGAATAAAACTAAACCATCCCCATCCTACCAGGAAAATACCACTGTGGTATTAACTTCAGATGGGTGGCAAAATAAATTGCAGCAATTTTAAGCTAGCAGAAAAATGCCACTGCAGTTTTTATTGACAAACTGGACTACATATTTTTTTTTATAAATTCATCCCAATAACTGTACCCACAAGTCACGACAACTGAAGTTGAAAATGGGTTATTATAATTAAACAGCAGCTCAAATTGCTCTGTTTAAGTCATCACAATAGAAGCTAACCTTCCAGTAAGAAGCCCCCAAGCCAAGTGTATAACTAATCTACAAAGCTGGCCGGACACAACCTTGTACAACTATGTAAACAGTAAATTTGAATCTGCAAAAGTGCTTGTAATGGTTATGCAATCACGGACTTGCCTAAAGGAGAATACAGAAGGCAGGTGGCACTATAATTTAAGGTGAAAACAACGATTATTAACAGGTAATAAATAATCGTATTGCATCAAAAATATATTCGTTAAATAAATGGCGCTTAATTTTTAAGCTTTAAATTTTCTAAATATTGTTCTACACCCATAAGCTCCACCAATTACTCAATTACATGTTAATGTTATTTGTGCACTGGAATCAGTAGTCATAATTGAACGTCCACTTTGTTCAATGTTTACTGCTTGTCTTCAAATTCACTGCCATGTCACAGGGCCAAAGTTAACTTCACTCGTAGGAACCAGCTTTCATTTCCAGACAGGAGTGACTTAAATTATATAAATTATTTAGACTTTAATTATCTATATTTTTTCAGGCAAACTAAATTGGTATTTGCAGCTCCTATTTCAGTAAAACTGGATATACTTACACCCCACATGAGGATAATGTGGTTCATTGCCACCAAAGAATTGGGCCAGTTGTAAGCTCTTGTTTAAAGGGCACCTATTTAAGTGTGTAATCTATTAACGAGAGCTGAAAATTTATACAAGGATTTAAAAAAAACCTTAAAATGCCGAGGGGCGAACACATATTTGATTATCTTTTTGCTAATGCCAAATAACAAATGGCAAGCGCTTCAAGTATTTCAATTGAGGTCAAGTGTTCTACACATCTGGAGTCTTCTGATTAATGTGTTAGTACGTAATCTCTCTCATATAATATGTCCGTTACACAATGCTACATTTCACATGGTGCCGATCACTGCTGAAAGGTACGGATGAACTAACGTGCTTAAATCAAGGGCGTAAATGCCACCATTGCAATTCAACGGTGAAATCCGAATATGGAAGAACTACCAGGAAGCCATGAGGTAGGTAACAAAACTAGTTCTTCAGGTATTGTTTATTTTATTCTTTCATCGGGGTGGGGGAAAGGTCAGAGGCCTTCAAGCAAATCATTAACAGATCAACCATGCATGCAAACACCATCTCACCTTTATCCTTCTCGGCGTCGCCGTAGAATTTGCCGGCAGAGAGCACAAACTTGCCATAGTCGGACTTGTGTTTCGATACCACCCACCGGTCTTGCCAGGCATCTGCAAAGAAACAGGAAACAATAAGATTGCGGGAGAGAGGGGGGGGGGTCAGATTTTTTTTTTAAGCAAGACTGCACAACAGATCCAACTTTGGGCACGGTTCACCACGGACGTCTACAACGTTAACAAGGCGTGTGCGCGCGCAGATAGGCATGGCATGGGAAGTTAAGCATGACATGGGAAAGTGAGCAGAAATTCGGTTCGAGGCATGCACGATATTTGGATAAGAACCCACCAGGCGATAAATTATAGTAAGTCTATTAGAGTTCGAATTACTCGCCTGAAGGAGCATTCATGTGAACTTTTATTTCATTTCCAGTCATGCCACTAGGGGGCGTCTGTTGAGATTCAATACCGGAGTGCGAATACCCCTTTGAACAAGTACCCGCACATCAAATTTTGATTTAAAGCTTTCGTGACTGCAGTGATTCATATTCTTGGTTCTTTCGGTAAAGTCACGTAGAAGGGAAACAATAAAATAATAATATACATCTATATATAAATAAAATAATAAAATACAGAGATTTTATTATTTTATTGTTTCCTTTCAACGTGACTTTACCGAAAGAACCAAGAATACCCCGCACATCGTTTTCGTCAATGCCCTGCTGTACGAGGGCTTCCCCACACCCGTGTAGGTCACGGGGATTATGTGAACATACTTCATCACGATGGTCAGTGCGGTGGGTTGGTGAAGGTTGGAGGCAGACCCCGGAGGCATTTGTTAAAACAGTGCCAGTCCCGATTTGGGTGCAGTCCGTCTGCCATCCCACCCCCCACCGCATCCCCTATTACAACCCAGTAGTTGCTGGCTGCGTGGCGGTCATCCATCACAGCACTAATGCAGGGTCAACCCCGCAAAAACAACATTATATAAAAAAAATGAGACTTATGGGGCTCACATAAGTCCCAAACTAATTCCGGGCCACAGTTAGCACGACGATGACGTCACAAGAGTAACTGTCGCTAAAATGGCTATGGGGGTGTGGAACAGAGAGGGAGAGGAATTGGTGGTTACTTTAAATGGCTGACTTTACTCCGTAACCGGCATTCACTTTATCTCGGCCACAAGTGACGAGAGCTGTTTAGCTGTACACAACCTCATGCTAATTTACCACCAGTCTCTGCGCAGGGTAGGTGCAACATCTACAATTTTCTTGAGCACGTAGCCGCAGCCCATCCACCAGCAGTGCCCGTGAGCGGGTTAATGTGCAGGGCTGCCCCTTCTACATCGAAGAAATGTTACTTTAAAAAAAACTCACTGTTCATAGGGCCTCTTAAAGATTGTTGAAGCCAAAAACCCCCTCAATGGATCATCACGCGTTTGCTCACAAACGTCGACACATTAAGCATTCTCATCAAATACCCCTCACCCACCCCCTAAAAAAATCCAATTGTTTTAATGGGAAAACGGAAGATTTGGTGTCAAAATCCACGCGCGATTAGGCCCTTTTTCCACAGCCACTCTGGCTCACCCCCCAGAACTCGACACATCATCCCAGAATAAAGCAACGACTGGCACACCTCACATGGCTTGTTCACGCAACGGTAAATTGCCAATCAACATTAGTACACATCTGTGCAACTTAATTCCCGGACATAATGAATGCCCTCTCTTGAAACCCACCAACCCACCTCCGTCGTCAAAGAGCTCCTTGAAGTACACAGCGGGCTCGGCCAGGGCGCTCGCCAGCAGCAGCGCAGTCACGGCAACTATCGCGCAATGCATGGTTCTAAACGTCGACAAATGTCAAACTTTAAACCGTCGAGCAATTACAATCCACTAATTTATATCCCACTTTGCTCGAATTCACGGCGACGCGACTCGAAGCAACCCGCACGGCCCCGGCTGTTCGACAACTGCAGGCAGCCTGCACAGATGGCGCCTTCTCATTGGCTGCCGCCGATAGCCGACGACCAATCAACGCTCACCACGACCGGCGGGGTCCCCCCCTCCTCCCGCGTGACCGTTGCGGAGACGTCACGCGCCTAATTTGGCAATGAGGCCCCGCCCCACATCCGCCCGACTCCCCCCCACAACCCCCCCACGTCCCCCCACAACTCCCCCCCACATCCGATCGCAGGACGTGATGACGTCACCACGTCGCCGTAATTTTCATAAGCCCCGATCCCAGCGGTTAGAACGCTGCGGCGACTGTACGTAATGACGTCCTCGCGGCTCCTTACGCTCAGCCACGCCTGTCGGAGACGTCATCGCGCTCACGTTTGCATGGAGCCGCCCCCCCCGCCCGCGATTCATCACGTGACCCGCTATCAGCTGTTTGCTTGTTCACGTTTCTCAGGCTTCGGCTTAAACGAGCTGATGCGAGGGAAATTGATGTTGCATTCTTAATCTGAGTTACCCGATGATTTGTATGCACACGAGCCACTGATGTTGGCCGGGAACCGAAATGAGGCCTCTGAACAATGTGTGTGGGGTTATTCCCCACCCACTCCGCCGCGGGTTAATCAACTCGCGTCACCGACGCCGCGTGGGGAGGCCCTCATCCAGCAGTAGATCGACAAGTGGCCGTTCGTTTTAATTTGCCTTCGTTTTCAAGTTGCGTGATTCAAATGAGCGAGGTTACGTGACAGTTATTCCATAGTTGCGGTATATAATTGGCAACGGCAGGCACTACATATTTCAGATGTAATTAATACTGTACATTTCAGGTTCATTAAGCCGAGGTAGATGTCTATAAAATGTTAACTCAAGTACAGAATAATGTTTTATTATGTTGACCGTATAATACAAAAAACTAATACAATGAACGTAACCTCGTGTGTAACAATGCAAGCCGTCGGTGCAATTAAAAACGTGCCACAGTATTGAGATTCCGTAAGCATTCAATTGCGGCTTATATCTTACACTAAAGTGTAGGGCACTTTAATTCAACACCTACAATGATGAATTCATCCAACTTGGTGTATGAAGGATTAACAATCCTGCACGTCGAATCGATTTGGCGTCTATGCGCGAAACTGGTTTTATCGCTCCATCTCTCATTGTATTTTAATGCACAGTATTGCAACGCCTGGTTCATTAAGTAACAACGCTGTGCACATGTCACTCTTTAAAAAAAAATGTACTCTTATCTTCATTGAGGTGTATATACAACTAAAGAGGAACACGCCGCTTACGAAACCACTATGACTAAAAGCAGCCAATAGACTCTCAGCACGCGTCTCGCCGCAGCCTCGGGGTTGGGTGGGGGGTCAATCCCCTCGCTGCGTGAGTCACCCACCCACCCACTTCCACCCACCCCATTGGTGGTCGCCTCTGAATAAGTTCAATACCTCAGTGGGCTTTGCCAGGGTACGGTGGGAACGGTTTAGTCTTATTCCTATGCGATTGGGTGATTTGTTTACCCCTGTACTTTAGTACCTGTCAACCCCTTATCAGTGTCCTACCTTAAATTTTGGAAATTAAAGCTTTCGTGACTGCAGGGATTCATATTTAAAGCTTTCGTGACTACAGGGATTCATATTATTGGTTCTTTCGGTAAAGTCACGTAGAAGGGAAACAATAAAATAATACAAATATTGTTTTATATTATTGTTTCCCTTCTACGTGACTTTACCGAAAGAACCAATATTTTTTTATTATTGTATTGTTTCTCTTCTGCGTGACTTTACCGAAAGAACCAAGAATAGTGTCCTTCCTTATTATATAGACCGATTCAGACCTTATTGGTTATCCCGTGCCCTTATAAATCTCAACGTTCATCCTACAAAGTCCCATCACAAGGGAGAAACAAACAAATAGACAAACCTTTTTTGTTTTTGCCCGGATTGAAACGGATGTACGCCGTATGCACCTGAAAACCCAATTTCCCTGTACAAGAATACGGGTAAACCGTATGGGTTGACAGGTATGTAGTAGCCACTGTCGCTTCTGAAAAAAAAGTGTTAATACCTCAGTGGGCTTTGCCTGGGTATGATTGTTTAGTGTTATTCTTATACGTTTGGGTGATTTGTTTGTATTGTAACTTTCTTACCCGCCCCTACTGGACGTCTGTGGAAAAAACAGCTTTTAGCTCATCGGATTCCGCCAGTATAAATACAGGTGGTCCCCGACTTACGATGGAGATGCGTTACGACGACCCCATCGTAAGTCGAAAATATCGTAAGTCGAAGATGGCCTAGCCTACCCAGACGTCTTAAAGAATGGTGATAATTTAGCAAAACAGAGCAATTTACAGTACCGTACTGTATAAACTATATACTGTATGTATTTATTAATTACAATACTGTATTGCACAGTAAAATTTTAATTAAAAAACAAGGTAAATTCTTAGCCTACCTATATGAACTTCAGTATCATAGAACACTTTTTCAGGAAACAATCCTATCTACTATATTAAAAAAAACTTTTAACATGCATTTCACGTTTTGATTTAAAGCTTTCGTGACTGCAGTAATTCATATTCTTAGCTCTTTCGGTAAAATCACGTTGAAGGGAAACAATAAAATAATAAAATATATATAAAACAAAAAAATTTCTCACGACGTTTCGACCATAACACAAACGGTCGTCATCAGGTGTGTCGGTTTGCATAAATTTATTTATTTTTAAACGGTGTATTTATTCATAAAAAAACGTCAGCGCCACGCGCAGCAATTTGGCAGTTTATTATATCTATGTTCTGAGAAGAGGAGGGGGGAGACGAAAAATTATTGTATGCTGTCTGAAAGCCACTGTGAGCGTGAACAATCAATTAAGACCTGAAATGGTTTATCAAATCTTTCCAATGATTGCTAAGCCAGAATCCATCTTCTCGGTTGAAATTGTCTCTGTGCTTGTATATGTGGATAGCCTCATGAACGAATCTCTCATGGTAGCCAGATGACTTACAAAGAACCTCTGTCTTGGAAAAGTCAATGTCATGTGAGCCTACTGAATTATAACAATGATCTGCCACGTCCGAGGTGTTTAAGGTCTGCTTTGTGTTCACGAATGCGGTCCGAGACATGGCGTAGTAGTTGCCTCTGTGGTAGTAGTTACATTGGAGAAACCAAACGCCATGTCTCGGACCGCATTCGTGAACACAAAGCAGACCTTAAACACGGTAGGACCAACACCTCGGCCGTGGCAGATCATTGTTATAATTTAGTAGGCTCACATGACATTGACTTTTCCAAGGCAGAGGTTCTTTGTAAGCCATCTGGCTACCATGAGAGATTCGTTCATGAGGCTATCCACATATACAAGCACAGAGACAATTTCAACCGAGAAGATGGATTCTGGCTTAGCAATCATTGGAAAGATTTGATAAACCATTTCAGGTCTTAATTGATTGTTCACGCTTACAGTGGCTTTCAGACAGCATACATTAATTTTTCGTCTCCCCCCTCCTCTTTTCAGAACATAGATGGACTAGTCCTTCTACATAAACTGCCAAATCGCTGTGCGTGGCGTTGACGTTTTTTTTTATAAATAAACACACCATTAAAAAATAAATTAATTAATGAAAAACGACACACCTGATGATGACCGTTTGTGTTATGGTCGAAATGTCGTGAGAATTTTTATTGTTTTATATATTTTATTATTTTATTGTTTCCCTTTACCGAAAGAGCTAAGAATATGCATTTAACGTATTTATCGTATCGTGGTAACCATGAAATGAAATCGCTAAAGCTATGTATCAATAATGCATTGAACATATCGTAACGTATCATATTCTACTGTACTCACCAAGATTCTGTCCGTCGTCTGCATACTTGAACGATGTTAGGTTGTTGATGGCTACATTAACTTAGTTGTCGGAAGAGGAGGATGGCGATGATAAAGTACAGTATCGTACCTCGTACGCTGCTGCGTTTGCCTGCCACGCAAAATTAAAAATATTTTACAATTTTGTCATATCGCTATCACCATCGTAAGTCGGACCATCGTAAGTCGGGGACTACCTGTATTCTGGTTCTGAACTTCAGCAACGTTTCCTCACGCAAAAAAACGTACCACCATCCCAATCAAGGAGGACATTGTCCCGAACATACCTCAATTCAGCAGACCATAACCCAAAACTCCTTTTATCTGAAGCTTCTCTTATCTGTAGGGTTCACAAGAAACCCCCCGTTATCCGCGACCCTATTGCTACATATTCACTGTTTTCCCCCATGCAGAACGCCTTACCTATCATCCACACATTGTTCGCAGTTAAGTGGAGTTCATTGGTAAATTCGTCCAGATTTGCGTACGCTGCAAGAGGATTTTGCTTGCAGTGCTCTCTGCTTCCCTCAACGTAGCCATGCAACAGTCAACATGGTCACCCAACCACATCAATTCCATACACCCAGCCATCAAATTCACCATGGAGGTGGAAAAGGATGGCAACTTACCATTCTTGAATGTTTTAATCGAAAAGAGACCATATGGCTCAATGGGACACTACTGTCTACAGGAAAGCCACCCATACGGATGCCTACCTAAAACCTGACTCCCACCACCATCCATCCCAGAAAAATTCCTTCATCAAAACTCTACACCATAGAGCTCGTTGTATTTCTGACCATCACCACCTAGCCAGTGAACTGGAACACGTACACCAAGCCCTCAAGATGAATGGATATTCAGACTACACAATCCATAAAGCTATCACCCCAACCGTTGGGAAAGAACCATCTGAGGACCCATTCAAAACCATCACATTGCCATACATAGCAGGGGTCACCAAAAATATTTCCAAAATCATGAGCAAACACAAGATCCAGGTTCTATTTAACACAGTACAAAAAATTCGTGATCTGATCTCATCTGTGAAGGATGTGATCCCTGACATGCAATACCCCGTGTCTACAAACTAAACTGTGCCTGCAGCAGTAGTTACATTGGGGAAACTAAGTGACATGTCTCGGACCGTGTTCGTGAATATAA